GGAGTCAGTTCACAGGCCAGCGGAGGGACCAAGGTATGTGGTGGTGGTTGGGGGGAGAGGGGTGTCCTGGCTGTGGGGGAAGGGAGATACTGCCTGGCCTCAGTGCAGCGGGCTGTCTCCTCCAAGCAGCCCTGTCTGGGGAGGTGGTGGCCATAGGTCCATAGTCCCTTTCTAAGGGGCTGCAGGTTTCATATGTGCCACCTGGGAACCTTCTGTGGTGATCCAGGCCAAAGGCACCTGAGAATGGATGACACAGAAGATGGGAAGGTCTCATGTTCTCTGCCACTGACCCTCACCCTGTTGTTGAATGTCTGGTGCCTCAGCTTTCCTATCTGTAAACAGAGCGCAGACCCTGGTGTGGTCTGCACAGTGTGCTCCTGCTCTGCAACCCTCTCTCTATGGTGACAGCAGGTCTGACTGGAGCACATCCCACAGCCCTGAGGCTGCAGAGCACAGGGTGCAGAACTGAGGTGGTGGGGTGTAGGCAGGGTTCAGGCTGGAGCAGTCCTGCCCACATCTCAGCGCCTTTACGCCACAGACAACCCCATTCTACAGCCCAGGAAAAGAGAAGCTGGACAACTGCCCGTGGTCATGTGCTTTGCGGCTTGCCCAGATACATGCTTCTAGTTCTTAGCACTAGCAGGCTAAAGGAGGGGCACTGGGACCGGTGTCAGAGCCAGACTCCATGGCCAGCACTTCCCAAGTTCACAGTGATGGTGTGAATAGGGGCATCTGCTGACCTCTGAAGTGTGCGGGGCTGGTGTGAAGACATCATGCAGTCTGGCGACTAGCTTTCCAGAAGGCCCCACACATGGACAGACAGAGGCCCAGGCTCGGACAGGGGTCCCACCCAGAGAAGAGGGAAGGTACAGTCTGGCCCTGGGCCAGGGGACAGGAAGGCAGGGGTAGGGGTTTGAGGAATGGAGCAGTAACAGCCATGCAGGGTGGAACAACGCGGGAATCGCCTGCTTACCCCGGGTCTCAGCCCTGTTCGGGCGGCTGGAGGCGAGGGCGTCGCCCCGGGGCTGCGGGCTCTGGACCATAGGGGGGCGCCTCAGTCCCCGCCCCACCAACCGCGCCGGGTCGCGCGTGGGCGCGGCGGGCACCGATTGGCTGGCGGGCACACGGGCGGGGCGGGCGGTGGCGGCGCGGAGGGGCGGGTCACCCCGCAGCCGGGCCTCGGCCTCAGCAGCTCATCGCTGCGCCCCGCCCGCGAGTCCGCCGCCACCGCACGTACCCCGCCGGCGGCCACCATGAGCACAGGCCTGAGGTACAAGAGCAAGCTGGCGACCCCAGGTGAGCCTGGCGCCCGCCCGCGTGCCCGCGCGCGCCTTTGTCCCCGCCGCCCGCCCGCCTCTCACCGTGTCTCTCCGTCTCTCCCCCGCCCTGTGGCCTGGACCTGCTCGGACCTGACTGCGACCCCGACCCCGCAGAAGACAAGCAGGTATGTGCACTCCACCTTCAGCTCTCTCGAGGCCCAGTCTTCTGTCACCTATTGTGGCATCAATGCCTCAGGCGTCCAGGCGCGACCCCGCCCCCGCCAGCCGCCATCCAGCCCAGTAGCGATAATCGATAATCATTGTCTTGTCTGTCGCCGGGGAGTGCCACTATGCCTGGAGCTGCAGCGAGGAGGGGGTAGGGGCCAAGCCTGGCCCTCTGACCCTCACAGCAGGGCTCTGGGCCTCTCTGGAGGATAGCAGGATGGGTGATCTCCCTCCCCCTAGTCCAGTACAGCATCTCCTTACTGACCTGGTGTGTTGGGGTCCTGGGTGAGTGGAGGAGGAGCAACTCTGAGTCCACCAAACGGTCTTCCTAAGTAGCATGAGCCTCAAGGGTCACCCCACTTCACAGCCTGCACCTTTATCCCTACACACTAAGGCTAAGCTGTGGCCCAGACTGGGAGCCGGGATCTGAGTCATTCCAGCGCCTAGCATCCCAGCAGAGTATGGGTCCTCAAGCCTAGTGGGTACAGATAGATTTGTGACCTTCCAAAGGGACTGACCTGGTCCCCACCCTTTGGTAATACAGACTCCATAGGAAATTCACCTGGGTATCTTCTGTAGAAACCTAACTGAGCTGAAGGTTAAACCAATCTGTGAAAGCTAGGAGAGCTAGGGATGAGAGTGGGTGACCAGGTGGGCTGCTAGGTATATTACTCTGCCGCTGGCTGGCCTGTCTGGCTTGAGCTCAGCCATGTTTGAGGAGGAAAAACAGGCTCGGTTCTGGCAGCAGAGAGGCCTTTACACCCTCTGTCATTGACAGAGATTCACACATGGCACAGATACGGGGCAGGACCTTGGCCTTGGGGGCATGCAGCTGGCAGGGCAGGAGCAGCTGGCAAGTGGAGTGAGCTAGAGAGTCGCTGGCTGCCCAGTGCCAGTCTCCTGGCCGGGATGTGCCCTGCCTAGGGACTGATGAGGCTCACTGGGAGGGGCTCCATGGAGATGCTGGGTAGAAAGCTGTCTTCCCCTCACAGCAGGTCAAACAAAGACTGAGATGTAGGGATACATACACAGCCAGGCTATTGTTTGAGGGAGAGGAAAAGAGTAGAGGCTGCCCAGACAGCATGCAAGCTACTCCTGGGCCTTTGGAAGCTCCAAGGTTGGCCTCAGGTGCTGAGAGTCACTAAGCTTGGTACCTGATGCTTAGCCCCAGCCAGCTGTCTTGCTCCTTGCTGTCAGGCTGGGGTGCTCCCCTTCTGCTGAGGTGTGACCTCATCAGGCCTGTGTCTGTCCATCCTTTGAGGTCCGCTAGGAGATAGCCTTCTCCCCTCTTCTCCCCATAGTCCAAGAAGGGGAAGCACCATGGAGGTAGAGGAAGTCCCAGGAACAGGCCCAGGGGGCCAGGTGGTGAGTGGGCTCTGGTGGGTCTAGAGGGACCCAGAAGCACACAGTAGCCTCACTGTGACCACTGAGCCTTGGCCCATTCAGGCCTCCTTTTTACTCTACACAAGGGGGGTGAAGAAGCAGTGGGGGCTCTGCCAGCGCTTTTTGTCCCCTACTTCTTTCAGACAGTGATGGGGCTCTGTTGGTTCTGGCTGCTGCTTCCTGAGCTGACTCGAGTGATTCTAAGAATGGAAATGCCTCGAGAGTTACAGGCACCAGGAGGAGGTGGGCGAAGCTGTGTCAAGAGGAAATGCTGATGAATATTTGTTGTGCCTCAAGACCAGAGATGGGAGGTGCCAGGGTCCTTCCCACAGAATGCACAGGTCCTACTTCAGTCCAGTTGGATGTTGGGAGAGGCAGGTTGGGAGATAGGAGTAAGGTTTTTGATGTACTGATCAGGGCCTTCCCAGAGGCTGTGCCTTTCCAATGAGGAAACTGAGGCAGTCTGAGACTAACAAGCTCTGTTAAACATCAGGGTGTAGAGCATCAGGGGTCCCTCTCAGCCTGAGGCCCTCTCAGCCAGGGCTGTCCATCTTCTGGACATGTCATTGGCCTAAGATGACAGCGTCTCTGGGGAAGGGCTGGGCTGTACCTGAAGTGGACTCGGGGGTAGAGACTGGGTGAGGCTCAGCCCAGAGGCTTCTTACAGGTCTTACAGGTCTGGACTACGGAGGGAGTGCAGAGGGAGTACTGAGAGACAGGACTGGGAGTGGGTGGAGAGAGCCAGGGGCCACGTGGCTGCCCCTTACCTTGGGAAGCAAGACTCTCCACTTCCCAACCGTGGGCCTGCCCTCCTCCCAGTGCCACTGGCTTCAGACTCCCCAGCAAGACGAGGGCCTTGGGGTAGGGGGTGCTCCACCATTATGCCAAGAAGGAAGGGCCTGCTTGGGGGAGGAGTGGGGCCAAGTAGGGGAGGAGACCTTCCAGTAGTCTGTACACACTGGCCACATGCACTTCCAGCCGTCCTGGAGCCATCCAGGTTCCCTTTCCTGGCCCCTGGGCACAGGCTTGCTCTGATTTTCCTGAGGTTCTAGAGGTGGGGGGTAAGGAAGGGTTTTTTTAGCCCTCAGTGAGCAGTTTCCCTGCTCAGCAAACTCCTGCCCTTCCTGGGGTGGCCACGTGAGGGGGAGTGTTAGCTGGCCTGAGCAATCCAGTGCCCTGTTTGTCCAATACTGTACTGTGGGTTAGAGGAGGCAAGGAAGCTCTGAGGGGAGGGGAGTGTCCACAAGTCCACGGGGACTTGTGGGGGTCAGATCCTACTCCATCTCCTACATCGCCCCTGAGGGCAGGGACTATCTGGAGACCACGGTGGCCTCGCGCATTGTGGGTGGTTTTGCCAAGCAGCAGGCTTGCCAAGCAGCAGGCTGACCAGGGTTTTTCTAAGTTTAGAGAGAAAGAGATAGTCGCATACTCTGGCCTCCTGCGCCTCCTTCTCGCCCTTCGCTCACACTAAGCCTCTGAGGAGGTGGAGGCAGGACCAGGACAGGGGTGGGTTCTGTCCTCCGCGCGTTTCCTGGAGGTCTGGGGACGCCTAGCGGAGAAAGAATCCCCCGCTAGATACACACCAGCGCAAGCGCGCTTCAGGGAGGTAGGTCGGCCCCAAAGAGGCACAGGAGTCCGAAGGGACGGGGTTCGTGGGTAGTTGGGTGCACTGTGACACCGCCGGGAGATAAGCGGGCCGAGTCTGCACTGAGGGCACCAGTATTGAATGGGGTCGGTTGAGTGTGGGTTGAAGCATCCTCTGGCGCCCTCTGGCGGGAGGAAACCGTATTGCGTGTTGGGGGTGGTACACGCGGCCTCCAGGGCCACCTCGCGTCCCTACCCGGCGTGCGAACCAAGCTTCTGGCCCGCACATCTCGCTGTCCAGACGCCTGGACCCAGGCCGCGGGTGTCACCACCAAGCTCCCAGTCCACGCGGCGCCGCAGCCCCTCCCCGCGCTCTGCCGGGCCCTGCCCTCCGCAGCGGTTTTCCATTGGTTCCGCCTGTGCCCCAATTTCTAGGCGACTGTCTCCCGGCGACGGCGGGCGGGGCTGTCTCCACCGCCCCCGAGAGCGCCAGCGGAGCCCCGCCTCTGTCCGGGTGCTGGGGCGGGGGCTACCGGGTCTACGTCGCCGCCACTGCTCTGGGCGGGCTCGCACAGGCGAGGAGTGGGGGGATGGCTCGTACGGCCTCTGGGGTCAGCGGTCCCCCAGGTAGGCGACGTCCCCTCTCCAGGCTTCAGTTCCCGTGTACGCAAAATTGGGGCGAGAGCAGGGTTTAAAAGCAGTACCACGCGTAAGTCTTTGGAGAACGCCAGGCTGGAGGTGGCCTGCCCCTGTCAGGGGGTCTGAACGCGGCCGGCAGGGCCTCAAGGGTCGCCGCGATGGACTCGCTGGCAGCACCCCAGGACCGCCTGGTGGAGCAGTTGCTGTCGCCGCGGACCCAGGCCCAGAGGCGGCTCAAGGTGTGTGTGTGTGTGTGTGTGTGTGTGTGTGTGTGTGTAATGTGGGTCATGTGCAAGCTTGCCTGCCCAGGGCTTGAGGGATCAGAGACGTGGCAAGGGCTGTAAGGCCAAAGACCTTTGTGGAGGGTGGGCGCTGGGACCCTGCGGTGGGGGGTGGCAGAGCACCGCTGTCTATAAATAGCCCGCTGCTGGAGATGCTGCAGCTGCCACCCCCAGGGCTGGATTGGGGCCAGGTGGGCCTCCCACCCTGGGCAATCTGGGGAGCGGTGAGTGTTGAGGCCTAGGCTTCTTCCTGCCTGTGGAGGCTTCTTAGGGTCTCAGTCCTGGTGCCTTAGGCCTAGAAGGGAGGACATGGCCTATGCCTGGTGCGGCCTACCATCTATTTATGCCCCCCCATACACACACAGAGAGAGACACACACACTCGGAGAGAGAGTTTTGGGTCCCTGAAAGCCCCTGGCTGAGTCTGGCACAGAACTGCCTTCTTCTGTCACCCCCTCACCTGGTTTCCCACCTCCAGGCTTTTGTCTATAAGCCTTCACCCCATTTTTGCCAATGAAATGCTATACCGTTAGGGGATACCATCTGCTGCCTCCTCCTCCTGTGGTTTGCAGAGCCAGGCAGGGGATAGGGCATTGGGCTGCTGCAGTGGAAGCCTAGTATGTCCCTGACCTGCCTCACTGCCGCCCCCAGGATATCGACAAGCAGTACGTGGGCTTCGCCACACTGCCCAACCAGGTACATAGAAAATCGGTGAAGAAGGGCTTTGACTTCACGCTCATGGTGGCTGGTGAGTGGGCCAGGCTGTTGGGTGGGGCTGGGGTGAGTGGCTGGGGCCACTGACCAGCCAAGTTCAGTTGAGGGGAGCTCAGACCTAACCCAGCCCCTTCACTGTACTTACGGCTAGGTGAGTCAGGCCTGGGAAAGTCCACACTGGTCCACAGCCTCTTTCTGACTGACCTGTACAAAGACAGAAAGCTTCTGAGTGCTGAGGGTAAGTACACCCTACATGTCCTGGCACCAATCCACCAACTCCCCCCATGTGACCTCTTAAAAGTGACCCTTCCAGGGTCAGCCCCCACTCTTTTCATGCTGTGAACCCCTATTCAGGGTCCAGAAGAAGTGGCCTAATCACAGGCCATTTAGGGCCAAGCCTCTGGGAAGGATGAGGTCAAGGGTGCTGGCTCCTGGGCCTGGACAGGCTTTCAGAAACAATGCTTTCCTCTTATTCCCTGCAGAACGCATCAACCAGACGGTAGAGATCCTGAAGCACACAGTGGACATTGAAGAGAAGGGAGTCAAGTTGAAGCTCACCATTGTGGACACACCAGGCTTTGGCGATGCTGTCAACAATTCTGAATGGTAAGAGAAGCCTGGCTGGAAAATGGGTCCCTGCCCCAACCAACCCCTTCCTCCCCAGTCTAGCAGGCAGCTCACAGCTGGCCTCATGGTCCTCCCACCCCCAGCTGGAAGCCCATCAGTGATTATGTAGATCAGCAGTTTGAGCAGTATTTCCGTGATGAGAGTGGCCTCAACCGCAAGAACATCCAGGACAACCGGGTGCACTGCTGCCTATACTTCATCTCCCCGTTTGGGCATGGGTATGTGACTCTTCAACCCCTTGTGAGTACCCTGTAGCTGTACTTGTCACTGTGCCACCACCTCCCCTCATCATGCCCATCCCACCCCCTGGTTGCTCTCTGCAGGCTGCGGCCAGTGGATGTGGGTTTCATGAAAGCTCTGCATGAGAAGGTAAACATTGTGCCACTCATCGCCAAGGCTGACTGCCTGGTGCCTAGTGAGACTCGGAAGCTGAAGGAGCGGGTGAGCCTGCTGTGGTAGAGGAGCCTTGCCAGAGAATCTGGGGCAGAGGGTACCAGGGGTACCTCGCCAGCCCCAAATCTGACAGCCTTTGCCCTACCACTGCAGATCCGGGAGGAGATTGACAAGTTTGGGATCCATGTGTACCAATTCCCCGAATGCGACTCCGATGAGGATGAGGACTTTAAGCAGCAGGACCGGGAACTGAAGGTGAACTGAAGCCAGGTTGAGGGAGGACAGAGGTAGTCAGGGACAGAACTGGAGGCCACATGGCACCCATTCATACAGGGCTTGAGGGCTGAGCACCCAGATCTGACCTCATAAGGTCAGAAGTTGTCCTAGCAATAAGAGACTTGTAGCCCATCAGTAAAGGTCAGAGGATAAAGGTGACCTAAATCCCTGCCTAGCCTATGTGGGTCATTTGAGCCTCACCTACATGCTTAGTGGGTCACAGAGCCATTGCCTGGGACACCTTGATGTGCTTTCCATGGATCATCAGTCTAGTAGCTACATGACTATGGCATATCCTGGCTTCCAGAATCCTGAACTACAGAGGGGGGTTACTTCAGGTTTCCAGAAGCTAGAGTAGTAATGACAGACCTAAGCCAGGGACAGGCACCATGGGGCATTTGAGAAGCTTTTGAGAAGAAAGGAGGAAAAGCTAGGTGGTTCTTGATGGGAGATGGGATCTGGAGGGGAACAACCTAAGGGGCACTGCCTGACAGAGGCCCCCAGGGTATCAGCTGTGCAGGATCCAGCTTCAATAAGTAGCAGAGAGGCCAGAAGACAGGTGGTGCCAGGATCTCTAGGGAGGGGTGTTGGTGATTCTGGAAAGGAGGCCTGGTGCAGCCCCCCACACCCCCAGCCTCTGTGCATTCATCAGACTGGGCTTCTGTCCCCTCCCCTCAGGAGAGCGCTCCCTTTGCTGTCATTGGCAGCAACACGGTGGTGGAAGCCAAAGGGCAACGAGTCCGGGGGCGACTGTACCCCTGGGGGATCGTGGAGGGTGAGTTGAGGCCTGGGGCATTAGGAATGGGGCGGGAAGGCTCCTCTGGTATCCCCCACCCACTGTGCACTCCTGCCCCACAGTGGAGAATCAGGCACACTGCGACTTCGTGAAGCTTCGCAACATGCTTATCCGCACTCACATGCATGACCTCAAGGATGTGACTTGTGACGTGCACTACGAGAACTACCGTGCACACTGCATCCAGCAGATGACCAGGTGGGCTGTCCCCATGCCCACATGGAAACCCGACCTGCTGACCACTTACAGGGCTGGCCATGTCCTTCCCACCCAGACATGAACTTTATTCCAATCCCCCTTATTCAAATCAGTTCCATAGAGCCTGATCTCCCAAAATCAGACCTGGGGCTTTAGTCCTGGCAGGAGTCCCTCAGGCATACCCCAGTGCACCACTCTGAGCCTCCCAGCAGCGCCATTCCTCCCATCTTATCCCCACAGTAAACTAACCCAGGACAGCCGCATGGAGAGCCCCATCCCCATCCTACCCCTGCCCACCCCAGACGCTGAGACTGAGAAGCTCATCAGGATGAAGGATGAGGAGGTTAGTGGAGGCCGCATCAGAGTCTGCCTTGGTGTGATGGGGCAGGGCCAGGGCTGGGTGTGACCTCCAAGGGAGAGGGCGGGGCCAGGCCCCTCTAGTTGCCTTTCTCATCCTAACTACTGTTGTCCCCAACCCAGTTAAGGCGAATGCAAGAGATGCTGCAGAAGATGAAACAACAAATGCAGGACCAGTGACCCTGCTGCTCCAGCCCCAGTCTCCAGGGATAGACCACCCACCTCTGGCCTCTCTCACCCCTGGATCCCAGACTGGCCTGGACTCGACCCTGGATTCGCTTGGATATCAGAGGGGCCTGGATCCAATCCTAACCTAGAGTGGCCCTGATGGGACTGTTCCCAACCCAGAGAGACACGGAGCCATGGCACCCCTCCCCACAACCCTAATTTATTCTTAGCATTAACGTCTCCAGGTCATTTGTATTTGTTCCCTAGGGGCCTGGACAACAGTGCCCCCCCCAATCAGTTTACTCTGGCCTTGGGGAATCAGGAGCCAAGTTGGACACAATTTCCTAGATTACACTTCCCCAAAGGTCAGAGCACCAAGGCTCCAATCCCTGCTCAGGCAAGAGGATAAACCAAGGTAGAGGAGGGGAAAGGGACCAGGTCTATTTCCCCACTCCTGTGCTACAGAACAAATTGAGGACTCCCTTTGTGCCAGTTTCTCTGAGTTACCCAGTGTATGCTGACACCCTACTTTGTGCAAGGTGCGCCGGGTCCTCCCTTACCCAGTCACCTAAACTGGGGATTAGAGCAGGTAGGGTTGGGCTGCTGAAGCAACTGGGAAGGTTCCACACTAAAAGGCTGCTGTTGAGGATGGTGGGACCAGCTGTTATAGCAGTCTAGCCCCTTCCTCACAACCTCTAGCAAACCTAGAGGGCCCTGGGGTGGTGGGCCATCCCCTGGCAACCCTCATGTCCAGGTGGCTGTTCCCTGCCCGTAGCTCGAAGCACCCTCTCCAGCTGCACTATGGTGCTGGGCTCTCAACCCCTCAGCTCCTCCATTTCTCCACCCGCATGACCCCACCACCACCAGCACCACCACACACACCCGTGCTCCCTTTTGTTAAGTTGTGAATGCCATGTCCTGTCCTGGCGACAGGAGAACAATGTTGGTGAACGTCGCTGTGGCTGTTCGAGTGTTCCGTGCACCCCTGGGAGCGGGTGGGGGCCGGAAACCCAGGCGGCTGGCGGGGTCTTGGTGATAGCGCCCTATCTGCGGCTGCAGCGCTGATCCGAGAGGCCTCCGGGTTATTTCTGGCCGGGTAGCTGCACTGTGGTCTGTGCGGCAGGGCTCGCGGAGCCTGTAAGGAGCCGGCTGGCTCTCAGGCCAACGCCTCCCACTCCAGAACAAACCGAGCTACCGACCTCTCGCCATGGGCTCCCGTGAGTCTGGGGTCAGGTCTGCTGGGTCCTGGGCAGTCCCAGGTTAGGAAGCATTCTGGTCATCCTAGCTGTTACAGGGAAAGGGTTGAATCAAATTAGGGAATTTCAGCCAGCGCATGGGGTGGTCAGATGGTGGGGGGAGGGGTTTACAGGGCTACAGGCCTCAGGAGCTGCATGAAGCCGGGGCCAGCGTCCTGGATGCTCAAGGACGCCGCCTGGGTGGGCAGGCCCCACCCTTCATTTCAGCCCTTCTCTTCTAGGGCCGTGCGGGGCGCTGAGCCTACTGCTGCTACTGCTGGCGTCGCGGAGCGGCGCGGCTGTGGGCTGCCCCGAGCCGTGTAGCTGCGCAGGGACGCAGGTGGATTGTGGGCGCCGTGGGCTCACGCTGGCCTCGCTGCCAGCAGTCTTCCCGCCTGACACCACAGATCTGGTGCTGACCGACAACAACCTAACAGCGCTGCCCCCGGGGCTGCTAGACACATTGCCCGCGCTGCGCGCCGTGCACCTAGGCGCTAACCCTTGGCGCTGCGACTGCCGCCTGGTGCCGCTGCGCGCCTGGCTGGCCGGCCGCCCGGAACGCGAGCCTTACCGCGATCTGCGCTGCGTCTCACCTCCTACTCTGCGCGGCCGCCTGCTGCCCTACCTAGCCGAGGAGGAGCTGCGCTCCGCATGCGCGCCAGGCCAACTTTGCAGGGGGTCGCTGGCAACACAAGTCGCGCTGCTCTGGCTCGGGCTTCTGCACGCGTTGCTCCTGGCGTTGCTGCTGTGCCGCCTGCAGAGGCTGCGCACCCGCACCCGCACCGCACAACAGTTACTCTTGATGGCCCCGCTGGTGGACGAGCCCGCTGAGGCAGGCACATCCTAAGAGAAATGGACTGGCGTTGATCATCCTAGGTCTGCAAATTCGACAAAACCTTGCCCAAGAAACCCTCATCCCTCTCTTGGACCCGCCCTGAAAGCTGCCCAGCCTCCCAGACTCTCCCAAGACCTGAAGGCTGGAATCCGGGTAGGACAGAGTGAGGCAACCTATACCTTCTGTCTTGGGGAGGTGGAGGCACCTAGCTACTGAAGCCCAACACTTCGGAGCCTCCCCTCCCCAATTCCGTGCTAAATAAATCCTTCTAAACTGGCCTGTCTCTGCACCAGTGACCTTGGATCCCATTCGCTGAACCCCAGAAGAGACCCTAGGGAGAGTGTGCAAGACACACAGTCCCATCATCACACTGAGCCAAATTGGCCTGGGGCAAGCAAGAGTCAATGGGTAAACTCCCTTGTCCCACACTGCCACAGGTCACTGTAGGTAGTGTGGACAGAGAAGACATGCTCAGCAATATGGACAGGCAGAGTGAAGGTGCTTAGAGGATTCTTGTAGGCAGTGAGGGACCACAAATATGTGCTAAGGACAGTTCAGGGCTTGTGGTGACCTTTATCAGTCACCCTGCTGTGTGGAGAGCTTTCAGAGCAGTTGGGACTCAGGTGGAGTCTGTAATCTATGTGGTGTTCCCTGGGTAATGGAGCCTAGAAGGTGGAGTCTGTGGGAATCCCCGGCAGGTGTGAGTGGGTGCCAACGTCTCTGGCCTGCAGTGAGCTGGACCTGTGCCACAGCCTGGGCCCCTCCTGGTGCACCAAATCTTCCTATCCCCATTCCTAAATCCACAGCAGGAGCTCCAAACCCCACCCCCACCCTTCTGTCAGGATGTAATGCTCACAAACTGAGAACACTGGCTCTGCTCACCCTGTCCCCACAGCTGCCACCTCCCCGGGCTCCTGAGCTGCACCACACTGGTCATGCCTCCCAGCTAGATCTATGCACAAGCTGTTCTTTTCGCCTGATACATGATGCCCTTCTCACCACTGCCCCATATTTGTCTTCTACCTCCCAAGCATGTCCATCCTCATTGCTGCATCTTTCTGGAGAGCTTCCCTAACTGCCCAGTCCAGCAAGGGAGCTTCTCAGAACCATCTAGTCCTCTGTCTGCTTCCCTAGCTCTGCCCCTGGTGCTAAGCAATCAGGGCCTCAGATTCTTCCCTGCTAACAAGGGGCACAGAGGGCCCTCTGATGTCTTTCTCACTATTGGAGCCAGCATAGGGACACTTGGGCCAGGGTCCTCTTCCATCCTTGGTGTGGACCCACCCAGCTGGCCCTGTGAACAAAGAAGGTTGTTCTCTGAGGGCCCCAGGACTGGATGAAGAGCCTCAGGGCTGGGCACAGGAAGGTCCTGGTTGCCCACTGACCGCCACTGACCAGGTCGGGAGGCTGCCCCTGACACAGCTTTTGTCCTAGTCTTTGTTGGATAAGATGGATGGCCCTCTGGTAGGGCTGATGCTATCTCGAGGCTGCTGGTCAGAAGTGAGGCACTAGCCACCTCCTCCTTTGTGGACAGGTGCAGGGCATCCGGCTCATTGTGGGCTGTAGCTGACTGTCCGGTTGTCCATCCGGCCTTATCACCACATCAGAGACAGTAGCCCTCTTTGTACAAATGAACTGCCTCCCCCAGGAGTGACTGACACCCCCTCCCAATCTCTGACAGAGGTCAGAGGTAGCAGCCAAGGTACACAAGCAACTCCCTAAACTCTATCTGAACATGATGCAAGGAGAAACATTCCTTCTGCTTCCCAGTGGAGGAAACCAAAATCAGGAGCAGGATCCTTACTGGGCCCCAGACCCCTCTATGTGTCTGCATGAAGAGCAAACCTGAGACAAGTTCCTGGAGCCCCTAAATTCCTCTTCACTAAAGCCCCTGGGGAAAATGCAGGGCCTAGGAAAAAGTGAGCCAGAATCCTAGGTGACCCCAAATTGAGAAGGAGGTACCTCTACCCTAGGCTGCGGGATGAGGCCCCACAAGGAGCTATGGGAAGGAGCCCAGACCCACTGTCCTCTGTTCACAGGGCTTGGGGGCTCCACGCCCAGGGCCTGGAGGAGAGTATGGTCCTCTTTGTGCAAATGAACTGCCTCCTCCAGGAGTGGAAGCCCTGAGGGGCAGGAGTTTCAGAGCCACTGGGACTTTCCTGATGGGAGAACAAAGCAGAAACCACAGCATGTATCATAAGGAAGAATTCCTGCATACTGAGCAAAAGGGCAACTGAACCCCATGTTCCCATAGGTCTGCCCTATGGTGTGGACTGGCTGGTGCCAAGGTACTGACCATGGGGGTGAAGACACGGCCTGCCTTGCTAACTGACCTTCTCCAGTGGACTAAGAGCCCTCAATCCCAACTCCTGACCCTGCACTGACCTTCCCATGTGCTGAGCCTGGGGCCTCAATCTCCAAGAGTCCAGGGAAGTGGATGGTCCCAGATCAGTGCTCCTGAATGGCCCTACCAGGGGAGGGTTGCTGCTCACAGTCCTCTTAGCCCCCTGTCCCAGCATGTCTGCCACTTCATAAACCGTACACCTGCCCCGAGGCCTCCTGCCCACTGACTAGCTGTGGCCCTCAGTGGCCTCAGACTCCTTTCAGACAAGCACAAACCAGGGAGCCCCTCTCAGGCCCCGCCATCCCCACACTTCCAGGCCTTAGGGAAGCTCTGCAGCCCAAGGGTGCAAAGGGACTGCAGCACACTGCCCAGGAAGCCTCCCTGAGCTCCTTACAAGGCTCAGACCTCAGTGCTCCCTGTCTCACCAGCCAGGCACTTCGCACCTTCCCTAAGGCCACATTCCTGCCCTGATGTCCTCCTTCCTGTGACTCTCATCCCTCTTCAAGGCCCTATTCAAGTTCCATTCTCCCTTTTCAAGGAGTTTCCTAGCCTGCCATGGGACAGGACCCCATGTCCTGGTCTGCTCTCCTATCTGGTGTCTGTGCACAGCCAGACAGCGAGTGACTGACCAAAGAATTGAACAAATGGATCCCCAGCAAGGGCAGACGACAGCCCTGGAGAAGACACATCCAGGACATCCCACGGAGAGCCTCTGCCTCCTCATTGTGAAATAGATGGGTGCTCTGGCACTCACCAGGCTTCGCGCAGGATCTGTCCTCCCCGTCGGCGCTGCGACCCCAAGGGAGCACCAGAGGGCGCTCGCGACTTGCAGAAAACAACAGCGAAGGAACAACTGGGACCGAGTTTGGCGTTGGGGGTGCAGACAGCCAGGGTCTTCGAAGAAACAGAAACGGGGAGAAGGGAGGATGTGTCTACGCCACGGATGGCACCCAGAGAGGCAAGCAGATTGCTCCATCATGGGGGTAGCGAGGGGGTGTTGGCGCGGTCACTGACAGGGAGCGCGACCCTCTCCCCACCCCTCTCCTCGAGGGTGCAGTGACAGCTTGTCAACCACGAAGATAAGGGACTCCTTCCGCCGGGCGCTGGGGCGGGGCCGGCCCAGGTGCACCCTCCCCCCTCCTGCTGGAGTTTGCTCGGTAAACAGTTATTGGGCCCCTGCTGTGTGCACCGTGGCGAGGGCGGGGCAGGGGACACTGAGGGCAGCCCAGGACACAGCTTCTGCTCCGACACCACCAGACCACTTTACAGCACCTTCGGCACCTTCGGGAAGAGGCTTGCGTGGAGGTGCTCCTCTAGGCCTGCCCCAGCTTGGGGATGCCTCCTGAGCTGAGCTGACCTGACCTGCCTGGGGCCTCGCATCGAAAAGGCCCGGGAAGGTGTGGGGGGCCCAGGTCCAGGCCACGTGGGGAGGGGGATCGCACCCGCCGCCCAGACAGAGCAACAACATTGGGGTGGGTGGCGGAGCCCTGGGGGCCCATAGCTCACTGCACCGTCTGCGCCCACCCCCGGTGTTTCCGATGGAAGACAGGCGACTGGTGATAAATCACCAACTCCCACCCCCACACCAGGGCCAACCGGTGGGGAAGAAGGGCTGCAGAGGCGGTGTGTGACAGAGACAACCCCTGAGACAGACAGAAGACAAGCGCAGAGAGGGAGAGACAAGGAGAAGCCAGTTGGTACCCACCAAGTCCTTACTGGGGTGTCTGATCGCCCCTTCCAGGTACCCCTCCACAAAGTCCATCTGGAAACCAGCTGAGAGCCACCCCCCACCCGGGCTGACCCCAACAGGGAGGCGGAGGAGGAGGGAGCCAGGTCTTTCCAGCATAACTCCAGCTCCCCTGGGAGGCCCATAAATCAGCAGGGGGCACTCGGGAAGCACTCCCCCAGGCAAGTGAGGGTCTTCAGGGTCACTGAACCTGGTGACTAGGCCTGGCCTTGGCTGTGTCCTTCCCTCTTCAAACAGCCCTTGGGGGTCCTCCAGCCCCCAACTCTTTTTCTCTGGCAGTCAATTGGCCTGAGGCCATCCAGGGCTGGTGTACACTGCGTATGGACACGCTCATTGTCCTCTTCTCTCCAACAGGAACTGCCCTCAAGGGGGTGATGTGTCCCTATGAAGAGAACCCCTTGTGAGTGGTTTGTTGCTGGTCCCTCAGGAACTTGGAGTCAACAGGTCCTTCCCAGTGAAGCTCTCACTAGGGTTCACTCTGCCAAAGGGAAATGCTATCCATACCTCCTTCCATCCTGCCTTCCTGTCACCTCCCCTCAATGTGCTGAGAGCTGGCTGGACAAAAGGTGCTGAAAGATGAGCCAGGTGGGCCCCCCAGGTGTAACTCCCTCCACACGCGCACACACCCAAGCACACACACACAGGGCAAGTGTGATGTCAGTAGCAGTGGGAAAGGAATGGTTCCCAGAACCTGCAGGGTGCACTCAACACCCCCAGTGCCAGGATCCCTAATCTCGGGTCAGGGGGAAGGGAGCCCCAGCAATCCCTGTCCAGGGTTTAGCCTGTCAGCAACCCCTCAGGTGCCACATGGTAGAGTTAAGACCACTTGGACACAAGCAGACACAATTCCTGTGCTTGTCTTAAGGAGTGGTAGAGCTGGAGAGAAGGATGCGGGGTGTTTTCTAGAAAGACCTCAGAGTTCTTGGGATTGTGTTTGAAGGAGGCACTGAGTGTCCTGTGGGCTGCCCTGGACCTGGTCACATGGAGGATCTCCTTGAGTCTTGAAACAAACCCTCAAGTGAAGCTCTTGAGATATCTCAGGGAAAGGTACATCGAGGTTAGAGGCAGAAGGGTTGAGGGCTGGCAATCCAGGCCCCCTTGCTCCCAAATCCTCACCCAGGAGAGGCCCTCCACTGCTCCCTAACTCCAGCCCTCCCTCCTCTTCCCACTGGGGTTGTCTCCCCTTTGA